ATCTCAGTTAACCGGGCACTGCCTTACTAATACCACAGGCGGGTACAGCTCTGACTAATTGGTTAGGTTAGGCAGCTCAGAACGAAAAGATGCCAAGGAAGCATAAACAAAGTACTGTCTGCCAGGTCTTAGATGTAAACAAAACGCGATGCGGACGAACGATAGGGGTTCTGCGTCGTGATACAAAACTCCCACAGGATCTCGTTTTCACGGAATGAGTCATCGGTGCCGGTCTACGCGCACTCAATGCTAGACTCCTGCAGGTAGGCAACTCGCCGTCTGGGTTTGTGTGCGAAGCCTCTGCTACACAACCGTACACACACACACACACACACACACACACACACACACACACACACACACAAACGCTTGCACATACCCACACACGCGCGCGCATCATACCTTGGGAGTAGCGGAGAAGGAGGGTGTCGATGGACTGGCCAACATGTGCCGACGCCACGTTGGTGAGGGTTACGCCCTTTCGCAGCATGTGAGACAGGGACATGTGTCCTGCAGAAGAGGAGAAAGCAGGAATAAAGGATCAGGACCGTGACTATGGGGGGGGGGGGCAATGTGATGGTGACAGGTGTATCAGCAGCAACGACACTATGCTTTGCGCCACGGTGTTGGTTGATGCAGAACCCATGCAGGGGCCACGACAGACTGCACCCTCTTTTCTGTGCCCACCATGACATCACACGCACTTTGTGTTGTCTGCATCCCTGGGCGGAGTCGAGTGCGAGACGCGTGAAATAGAGCAGCCGTCGAAAAGCGCTGCTGTGCGCGCGTGGAGGGCAGGGGCGGGTTGCTCCAGTCGGTCAGCTGGACAGTGTGGGTGGGAAAGGTGATGGGGCTGGACTTGGCGCTGCGTGACCGGCGACGAAGGCGGGGCTTTGCAGATGTTTTGGGCTTCGATGCAGGCGCTGTGCTTGCTGTTGCTGAGGAAGATGAGCGTCTTCGTGATCGGGGTGTGAAAAAGGCAGCGACAGCCGCCGCTTGTTGCTGCGCGATGAAGGCATTATGGGTGTCAGAGAGAAAGAAAGAAAGAAAGAAAGGGGAGGGGTGAGTGAGAATGCGAGCGAGTGAGTATGAGAATATGAGGTTGAGTGAGAGTGTGAACATGTAAGCGTGAGTAAAACTGTGAGTATGAGTGGGAGCGAGTTGGCGTGGTGTCGTGCTACAGCTTCAACGCACACACATGTGAACAAAGGATTCACGAGTGCTGACCGAGAGTCGAAGAGAGGGTTCTTCTGGGGACGAGTCAGCAAACACGATTGGCGGTGTGGGTTGAGAGGAGGGCGGTGAAGCATCCGAATCCATCAAGTCTGTGTCGTTGTCATTGTCGTCGTCATGGTCCATCTCGTTGTGTTCTGGGTGTTGCGGTTGCCGCTTTGCTCGCTTCCTTGCTTTGCGAACAGCGCTGCGTGGCGGAGGGCCGGGCGGCAGTGGCGGTACCTGCACGTCCACTCCCATCTCCATCTCTATCTCCATCTCCGTCTCCATCGCATCAGCTCTACCGCTCCCGCACATGGTGGTGGTTGCAGGTCTGCTTGTGTGTTGAGACAACTTGCCGCACTGTGTGCTTGTGTGTGCTTGTTGTTGTGTGTGGTTTGTGTGTTTCCGCGCTTTTCGAAGGTTTGGCGCCAACTGGGGAACTGCTGACTCAGCACTTTCTGAGACTGCTGACACGACGACAAGACAACAAGAAACGGCAGACAAGACAAGCAAGCAGCAAGCAGCCCGCGACAAGATGGACGGGAGCGACGAGCAACAGCAGCAACGGCAGCAACGGCAGCCAGAGGAGGAGGAGCAGGGGCCACAGGACGGAGGCGAGGCAGCCACCCACGGACAGCCTGCCGAACCCGTTGCTCGACCAGCGAATGACATCCGTGCAAAACGGCTGGCACGCTTGGCCAGGCTACAGTCAACACCACCGTCCAAACGGGCTGCACAGGAGGTGTGTGTGTGGGTGTGTGTTTGCGTTTGTGATGAGGTTGTGTGTGTGGGTGTGTTTTGCGAGTGGGTTTGTGTGGGTGAGGGAAGGTCGACGAGTTGTGTACACGTGACACTATGTGGCCACATGTGTCGACCGTGGCGAACCCGGTCACCATGTCACACAAACACACACTCACATTCACAACAAAACACGCACTCACGCACCTCAAACGTTCACGCACCACAACGCACTCACACATCGCATGCATCGCGCCCGAGCAGGATTCAGCGACGAGTGAGACGCCAATTACAGCCAGCAAAGATGAGAAAACCAACACCGCAACAGCGGCTGCAACCACCACATCAATGGACACCAGCAACACCAGCAGCAACACCAGCAGCGGCGACAACCCTTTCCTGAGCCTGACCCAAGACGATGCAGCACCCGCCAAAACAGGTGCTTCACAGCAAGCTTCGCCAGCCAAATTGTAAGCGACCACATGAAACGTGGCTCATCACTTGCGTCAACACCACTTTGCACCACTGTGTTGTATGCTTGTGTGTGTGTGTGTGCTCTTGCGTGCTCTTGTGTGCTCTTGTGTGTACTTGTGTGTGTGTGTGCTCTTGTGTAGACTTGTGTGTGTGCACTTGTGTGTACTTGTGTGTGTGTGTGTGTGTGTGTGTGTGGCAAGCTCAAGTTCTCATGCATTCACACTCGCTGTTGTCGAATGCGTTCCGTGTGCGTGCGTGCAAACTTGCTGTGGCTTTCAGGCCAAAGGCCATGTCGCCATCTCGATCATCGCCAGCATCAGCGGCAGCGTCAAACGTCCTGTACGAGTACGCACACGACTTTGCTCGCACCGTTCTCAATGTGGAATACAGAGACCAGGTATGAGCAGAGCCGGCATGTGCGGTCCTGTTCGCGCTTTTCTCGTCGATGTTGGTCATGTGGGTCTTTTGCTTCTCCTATCGACCTGTTGCTGGCGGTGATAATCGTGCTGGTGCCGGCGCTGTATTGAATGACTCAGCTCATTCAATCACACACACACACACACACATACACACACATCCGCACACACATACACACACATACACACACACACCCACGCACACACACACACATCCGCACACGAATGACCCCACACCCTCCCACCTGACGCACGACCATAAAGGGCGACCTGTCAATTGCACAGATGCGTCTGTCCAACAGCGGCAGCGGTGCTCAGCCCGTCCCCTGCCCGCACCTGCTCCAGGAATTCAAGGACGACACAGAGCTCGGTGTGTGTGCTTGCGTGCGTGCGTGTTGCTATCTCGGGATCCATCTGTGTGTATGTTGAGTGCATGATTTGTGGTGGTGTTATGTGCCGCTTACCCACTGCCACTTGCATTTCCCTTCATGTCGCCGCGTGTGGCCTGCGTAACGCTCCCCCCCCCTTTCTCTCTCTCTCTTTGTCTCTCTGCCTCTCTGTCTGTCTGTCTGTCTGTCTGTCTGTCTCCCTCCCTCCCTAACTCTCTCTCTCCCTAACTCTCTCTCTCTCTCTCTCTCCCTCTCTCTCTCTCATTCATGTCCCTCCTGCAGACGAGCGCAAGTTTGTCGACGCCATCATTATGGCGCATCTCCTTGCTGATGCCCCCGCAGCTCCGAAATCCATCGCGTATCTTGCACAATGTTTCCACCGTGCCGCTGGCCGTCTGCGCGTGCTGCCTCCAAAGTCGCGGCTGCGGCGCCTGGCAGAACTGACGCAAGAGCTTGCAGCGAGCTATGCAAACACGATCCTCATGCTGGACGAGCCCATGTTCCCCGTGGACGCGTGAGTCAAGGCCACACCACGTGCTCTCGTCTCTCAACGACGTTATGCCACTTGCACACATGCACATGATCACACATGATCGCACACGCACACACATGCGCACAATCACAGAACCACCCACAACCACCCGCAATCACACACAATGTGTTTGTCTCTCTCATGCGGAATTACGCACACTCACACACGCGCCATCACACACTCGCTTGCCCCTCCCCCCGCGTGGCCTGCAGGGAGACGCGTGATGCGCGCAAGTGGGTTGTGCAGGCGCTGCTGACAAAGGCGGAGCTGGGTCCGTTCCTCTCTGCTGTCGTGGACGTGTGTGCACAGGACGACCCAGCAGGCATCGAAACGGTACGAGTGTGTGTGTGTGTGCATATGTGCGTGTGTGTGTGTGTGTGTGTGTGTGTGTGTGTGTGTGTGTGTGTGTGTGTGTGTGTGTGTGTGTGTGTGTGTGTGTGTGTGCATGTGATACATCCCAAACACGGTCACATCCCGGCACTTCCAATGATGCCATTCCCTGTCCGAGTGTTCACACACATGTGCGTGTGTTTGCCCGTGTCAGATCTTTCTGCCTGTGCTGAGCGAGCTGTGTGAGATTGCGCGGCAGACACGCGACATCCAGCAAGCCCTGCCAGTCCTGCAGGTGTGTGTGTGTGTGCATGCGTGCATGCGTAGTTTTGCTCGTGTGCGTTGTTCGCGTGTGCGTGCATGGTGTTCGTCCGTGGTTCACGTCCGTTCAACCGTGTCATTGTCACTGGCGAATATAGGCGTTCCAGGCGTGCTGCAGTCTCGGCACCGCCCACAAAGGGCAGCCCCTTCCCGTGGCACACGCGGTACGTGACCCGCGAGGCATCTGCACATGTTGCGTTGTCCGCGTTGTTCGTGTTGTCGTGTCGTTCGTGCTGTTCGCGTTGCTCATGATTGGTTGTGGCCGCCTGCCCTTTGTCCATCATGCCATCGTTGCTCTGTCTTCCTTGGTCCGTGCACCCACCCCATCACCGACCAACCGCCACCAACTGCCCTCACCTGTTTCATTCTCCCCCAAACAACAAAAAAACACTGCAGCTTGTGATGCATGCCAACTTCCTGCCCGACAGCGAGACGGCGGCGGCGGTGACAAACTCACCCATCGGCGTCTTCCTCGAGCCAGGCGTCATTCCATCAGAGCAGGTGATGCGCGCACACGCTTGTTGTACGCGCACAGGCGTGCAGAAGATGCATGCACACTTGACGACATGGCGCATGCAGCGACATACACGCACACACGTTCACGCATACACACACGTGCACGTGCATGTCACCGCTCACTCTCTCCCGCAGCATGTTTACGTGCATTTTGCACGTACGTGCGTGCGTACGTGCGTACGTGCGTGCGTGTATCTCTCACTCACTGAATCAAACACTCCCTTGTCTCTGTACATGTGTCCAGCCATTCCCGCTGCTTGCATCACGGCCACGGTTCTCGGCAGCGTCGCTCTTTACCGTCAAGGACCGCAGGTGTGTTATTGGTGGCCGTGGGCGTGGCGGCTGCCTGATGGTGGCGTTGGAGGAGGCTGTGTTGATATTTTGGACGGTGTCGAAGTGGAAAACACGCACACACACGCACACGCACACACACGCACACGCATGCACACGCATGCTCACACACGTACACGCATGCACATGCACATGCACACACTGGCACCTCCGCCCTCGCCCAATGACCACATATGCAGGCTGCCGCCGTCTGTTGTTGAGTCGACGCAGTCCACGCTGCGGACATCCCTCGCGCTCTATCGACAGCACCTTGTCCAGACGTGCAAGGGCTTTCTCAGGTGGGCGTGCATTGCACTGTGAATGGATGGGTGTGAGGTTTACTTGAGAGTTGGGTTGGCAAAGTGTGGTTTAGTGTGGAAGGGCGCTGTATCGGCGTGTCTTGGTGGTTGGTTGGAAGCGCAGCTCTCCCCAAACGCATCAGCGTCTCACTCAACCACAATACGGCCCCATAGACCGGTCCTAACCGTATACCTTGCCCGCATCATGACCATGCATGCGTGTGTGTGTGTGTGTGTGTGTGTGTGTGTGTGTGTGTGTGTGTGTGTGTGTGTGTGTGTGTGTGTGTGTGTGTGTGTGTGCAGGACGGCTGATGGGCGCCAGCGGTTCTTTGCGTTTCTGAAGATTGCTTGTGCCGTGAATGCAAAACGCGCACAGCTCGGGTCCCAGCTCGCTGGCGCAAACCTCATGCTGGTCAGGCAGCCTGCCGCTTGCAGAGAGGCGAGGGGATTGTTTCAGTGTGGATGTACAAATATGTGTGAATGTGTGTGAATCGTGTGTGTGAATCGTGTGTGTGAATCGTGTGTGTGTTGTGTGCATGAGATGTGTGTGCGTGTGCATGTTTGTGCCTTCGACGGGCGCGTGATTCACCCCTTCGCTCCACTGCCGCCACTTGCTTGCTTGCATGCAGTTCACGAATTCCGACAACGTCGCCATGAACCTCACCGTCCTCATGAAGCAGGTGTGCACTTGTGTGTAGGCGTGTGCTGTATGTGTGCGTTGTGTGTGTGCATGATGTTTGGTGTTAGTTTCTCTTTCCACACACACACACACACACACACACACACACACACACACACACACACACACACACGCCTAACATCACGTGTCAACTCACCCACCATGGTCACCACCACCACCACCACCACAATACCGACAACGACGACGCAGCTGAGCCACAAGCTGGTCACGTTTGATGCTGCGAAACTCAAGGCGAAGGCGATTGATTTTGACATTCGCATGCTCGCCATGGAGGATGCACCCAACGACACACAGAAGGTGCGCCCGTACATGTACAAATGCATGTGGTTGTGTGTGTGTGTGTATAATTGGTGCGTGTGGGGGTGTTACTTTGAATTGGATATGCGTACGTGTGTGTGACATGCGTATGCCTGTGGTTGATACTCGTTGCTTATCCAATCGCCTTCGGCACTGCGTAACAGGAGACGCGACTGAAGGCGTCGGAGGAGGAGACGAAGAAGTGGTTTGAGGACACGCGGGCAGAGCTGCAGGCGTCCCCGCTGCCAGAGAAAACCATTGTGTGTTGCGCGTTGTCGTCATATGGAGTTGGACCTGCGTTGTTGTGGCTGTTCAAAGGCAAAGGGGCTGGGGGGGGGAGAGAACCACACACACACACACACACACACACACACACACACACACACACACACACACACACACACACACACACAATGCTGCGCAGCATTGTCTACTCACACCTCTGTCTTCACACCCCCACGAACATCATCACCATCATAACCATTACCGCCATCGTTAGATGCTGTCACGGCAGTTCTTCACAACGCTGCATGTGCTGCACATTGGCTTCCTGCCGGCAACAGCGCGCCTCAACGCCACATACCGCTCTGGCCGCAGCCGGCTTGCCTTCATTGACCGCGAACTGGCAGCAGCGAGGCAGCGCGGGGAGCAGGCTGCACAGCTTGCCGCACAGCTTGACACGCTCATTGCTGAGCGGCTCGCGTTTGAGGCAGATGTGCTCAACGAAGGTAGGGCAAAGGCGATGGTGCGGGGGAGAGGGGTCCTGCTGGTGTCGGTGTCGGTGTTGGTGAGGTGGGGATGGGAGTAATGGTGAGGATGTTGATGGTGACAGGTGCAAAGTGGGGATTGGACCACTTTCCCCTGTGTTGCTGCTGAGGTCTTCCGTTTGCGCATGGTTCATCTTCTCGAGACAAGTGCAAGCCGCCTCTTCCTCGCTCACACGCGTTTGCATACCCCTACGCATGCACTGCATATGCTGCATCTTCCCATCAGCGCTGCTGGGCGACTTGGTTGAGTTTTACGGCTTTGTCGCCGCGTGGCTGCTCCAAGTGGTGAGTATGCACTGCACAGTGCTTTGGCGCATGTGTTGTGTCCTATTGCCATGGTTTCATCATGCTTACGCATGCACTCACGTAGTCGGTCTTACGTCCACACGTTCACACATTTGCACACACACACACACACTCACACGCACACACACACACACACATGCATGCATGCATGCACCACCGCTGACGGTTCAGGCTGGCGGAAACGACACCATCCCGCTTCCTGCCGAGATTTCGCCGCAGTGGGCGAACATGCCAGAGTACTTTGTGTACGACGTGATTGAGTTCTTCCTCTTCGTCGCAAGGTGGAAAGAAATCAAGCACACGCTTGTTTGCGCACGTGTGTGATGTGTGTGTGATGTGTGTGTGCGTTGTGTGTGTACGTCGACCAGCTCACTTGCATGTGTGCGCATGTATTTGCTCCTCACTCACTCACTCGCTCGCTCACTCACTGCCTCACTCACACACACACTCACTCACTCACTCACACTCTCGCTCACTCGTCCTTGTCTCTATCGCTGTGTGTGTGTGCAGGAGTGCCCCGCATCTGTTCACGTCGACGGCGGCAACGCCGTACATCATGCGCTTCTTCGTTGCCTTTCTCCTCAGCTCAAAGCACATTCCCATCGCCTTTGAGCGCTCAAAGATTGTCGAGGTGCGGCCGTGCTGCCTTGCGGTGCTTGTGTTGTATTGTTCTACAGTGTGCTGTGGTGTGGTGCGGTGTTACGGTGTGCTGTGTTAGTGTCTCCGTTGGCTTTTGGTGGACAGGCACCACCGACTGGTTGTTGTTGTTGTTGTTGTTGTTGTTGTTGTTGTTGTTGTTGTTGTTGTTGTTGTTGTTGTTGTTGTTGTTGTTGTTGTTGTTATGCGGTGTTATGCAGACAGCACGTCCAAGATGCAGTGAGTCATCCCAACCTCACTGCTCCATTCTCCACCCACCAACCACCCACCAACCACCCACCAACCACCCGCCAACCAACCGGTCGACCAACCGGCCGACCGTTGCCATCGCAGATACTGTCGAGTCTGCTGCCTGACAAAGCACCCAACACGTCGTTCCTGTCTTCGCTGCTGCAGACGGACCTCGGCATGAACCACCTTGGACCAGCGCTCATGCGCTTCTACGTTGGTGCGTTCCTCCAAAACACACACACACACACATGCGCACATGCGCACATTTTCGCCTGTTGCGAGTTGGCTTGCGCGCGTGTTTTTCTCAAACAATTGTACATGCAAATATGTACACATGTACACGTCATCGCAACTCCGCCTCATCATGTCCTGCATCGCCGTATGGCGACTGCGTGCAGATGCGGAGGAGGTGGACTACTACGCCCGCCCAGGCGTCCGCTACAATCTCCAGCTCATCCTCAAGTCAATGTGGCAGGTGTGCGCGTGTGTGCTCGTGTGTGCGTGTGTGGTTCGGTTGTAGTTTTGTTGACTGTGTTCGATGCTCATGCACGGCAAGCGGCTGTTTACACACACACACACACACACACACACACACACACACACACACACAAATTGTTTCTTCTGTGTTCAGAACCCGAAGAGCCGTGACGCAATCATCGCCAGCACGCAGGACGACGGCTTTGTTCGTTTCGTCATGCTGCTGATCAACGACACCACCCTCTTCTTTGACGAAGGTCGTGTGTGTGTGTGTGTGTGTGTGTGTGTGTGTGTGTGTGTGTGTGTTGGGGTTGTGGGAGCGAGCGAAGGTGAACATGTGCATGAAAGCGGGCGTGTGTGCACTTGTTGTTTTGGATGTGTGCGTTTGCTTGCTGACTTCAACTGTCGCCATTCACACCACCGCCGCCATCGCCACCTACATGATATGGTGTGCAGTGTTTGACTGTTTGGTGAAGATCAAGAATCTGAAGCGGCGTCTGGCGCAGGCAGAATGGACTGACGAAGACCAGACACGCGAGGAGGTGATGTTCCTCTCACAGTCACAGCGGAAGTGTTGCTGGTGCTGGTGAAATGAATGGTACTGAGGTGCATGCATTCAGGAGTGAAGCTCTGAGTCAATTCACCCTGACGTCCCCTGTGTGTGTGTGTGTGTGTGTGTCTGTGTGTGTGCCTGTGTGTGTGTCTGTGTGTGTGTGTGTGTTCCTGCGTGTGTTTTCATTGGCATTACAGGCTCAGCAAGAGCTGCCGAAGCTCGAGAACCAGGCCAAGACACTGTCCATGCTCGGTGGGTGATGGCCACATGTGTTGATCACGTCTCCAACGCATCTTCGTGTCTGTGCCGAACCACCCACTCACATTCACACAACACATACACATACACACACACAACACAACACGCACACACCCCACACACCACACCACACACAACACACCACAACACCCAACACAACACGCATTCACACGCACGCGTTCACATCCACGCCTTCTGCCTTTCGTCGCCACCACTACCAGCTGGGGAGACGCTGCACTTCTTCAACAATCTCTCTGGCGCTGTTGTCGACCCGTTTCTGCGGACGGAGGTGGTTGGTCGTCTCGCGGGCATGCTCAACAGCAACATCAGGTGGCTCTTTGGTCCACAAGCAAGCAAGATGGAGGTGCGTCTGCACATCGTGCCTGCTGTGCGTGCTGTTTGCCTGGCCGCCTGCTTTTCTCACATGCATGTGCTTGCGTGTTTGTGTATGTGCGTGTGTGTGTGTCACTTCCCTCTCACTGTCACGCCTCCTCGCGCCCTCCACCATTGTGCCGACCAATCATTTTAACCATCCCCCCTCTTATCCCCTGCCCCTTTCCCCCATCCTCCACCAGCTTGACCAGCTGCGCGAGTACGACTTCAACCCCATTGAAGTTCTGCGCCAGCTCGTCGCCATCTATCTTCACTGCTCCCGCATCCCCACCCGTGGGCCCGATAACCCAGACGTGCGTTGACGGCGGCGACAGTTGTGATGGTCGTGGTGGTCATGATGATGACGACGACGTATTCCTGTTGTTTGTGATGTGTGGTGTGATTTGCTCACGCGCGGTCAGTGAGCGACCGTGGCGCGTGGCGTCAGACACTGCTTGACCATCTATGTGCATGCTGTCACCTGCCACCTCTCCTCAAGCAACTTTTGCTCTCCATTGCTTCCTGCCATCTCCACACCTCCACAGCCCAAGTTCATCTCCGCTGTGATTGAGGATGCACGCTACGACCACTCGTTCCTCCTCAAGGCGCTCGCAACTCTCGAGCGAAACTCAACCGCTTACGTATGTGTGTGTGTGCGCGCGTATGTGTGTGTGTGTGCGTGTGTGCGTGTGCGTGTGTGTGTGTGTTTGAATGTCGCCGTTGTTCACTTCCACCTCTCATCCTCACATGTGCGCCTGTGCGATGCATCTGCAGGATGATGTGAAGCACTTCCGGCAGCTGATTCAAGTGGCCAAGGTGTGGCTTCTCGCTGCGTTCTCATCACCCACACCTCACTGCACGTCTTTCTCATCGCTCACAACTTGGTTCTCTGTGCACGTGTGTGCGTGATTGTGTGCATGCGTGCGTGTGTGTGCATGACCAGGCTGCGCATGAGGAGATGCAGACGGAGGAAGCGGATCTCGGAGACATTCCCGACGAGTATCTTGGTAACGACTGTTGCCTGGACTACTGTTGCTTCACACCACTGAAGGAAGCGAGCAACTACAACCGCACATACAACACGCAACCATACAAGCACACATTCGCAGTACTGATATCCACTTGCACACGCAATTGCATTAGATCCCGTCATGTACACCTTGATGAAGGACCCCGTGAAACTGCCGTCCAGCCAGACCATCAGTCAGTTTGCTGCCCTGCACCTGCCTGCGTGCATGTGCATGTGCATTTGTTTGGCTGTTTGTGGTTGTTGTTTGTGTACGTGTCTGTCTGTCTGTTTGGTTGTTTTTTGTTGTGCGTGTCCGTTGTGTCATGTTGCGTGTATCGTAGTGCGGCGAGCGCTCGATGCAGTCAGTCCCATGGGTCCGTTACTCGAGCCCCACGTGCTTACGCCAATCTCTCTCCTGTCCATGTTGCCACCGCCATCAGTGGACCGCTCTGTGATTATCCAGCACCTCCTCTCAGATCCCACCGATCCGTTCAACCGCAGCCCACTCTCTGCAGATGACCTCGTGCCAGGTGAGCATGGAGTGGATGGGAGTGGGTGGAGCAACAAATGGGTGGAGGTTGCACCCTCTTCGCGCCTCTCTCTTCCCTTGTGTGCCTCTCCCTTCCCTTGTGTACTCACACAGCAACAACAACACCACACACACACACGCACATATGTTTGCAGTGCCCGAGCTCAAGGCTGAGATTGATGAGTGGCTGGCAGCCAAGAAGCAAGCAGCCAAGTCGCAGCCTTGAATTGCCGAAACTTGTTTGATGATGTTCATGAATTTTCAGTAAACGAGCACAATCCAACAACAACGCGCACACACACACACACACACACACACACACACACACACACACACACACACACACACACACACACACACACACACACACACACACACACACGCACACACACACACACACACACACACACACACACACACACACACACACACACAACTGAGATGGCAGAAGAAGAAGCGAGGTCGATGCTGAAGGGCTTGCTTGGGAAGCTGGTGCGCGTTGGGGTGTCTGACGGACGCATTGTGCAGGGTGTGTTTTCTTGCGTGGACAATGGCTGTAACATCGTGCTCACCCACGCCAACGAGTGGAAAGGCCCGCCAATCACGGGCGCAGACGCATGGCCAAAGGTGGGCATACGGTTGTACACGCGCATGTGCATCAGTGTGTCAGTGGCGTGCGTATGCCTGTGGTGCAAGTGTGTGAATAGAACCTCTGCATGCATGTGTCGATGTGCCAACATCAGACTCCGCCATCCTCCGACACCAACACACACACACACACACACACACACACACACACACACACACACACACACACACACACACTTTACAATTGGTTTGCCAGGATGACGAGCTGGAATTCAGGAGACCGATTGGACTCGTCATGATTCCAGGAGACCACGTGTCGCGAGTAGGTGTAGCGGCGCAACAGCCACAGCACTTGCTGGACGCTCAGGCGCGAAGCAACTCAGATGAGGACGTGTCACAGCAGCTCCAGGAAACCCTATCCCTCCAAGGCAATGCGGCATGAACATGGCTATCCCTCAATGCAGCTTTGTGTTCGGTCGCCCCCACTACACACACACACACACACTCGCTCTCCTTCTCTCTCTCTCTCTCTCGTTCTTCTTCCTCCCTCTCTGCCCCTCTCTCTTTCTCCTCATCACATCGCTTCTGCTCTGGGTGCTTTGTCGTTTCCGCATCCACTCCGTCTGTGTTGCCTGCTCTCAGTTGCGCATTTCTCGCATGGCACACTTGTGCATACTGTTGCCGAATTGTAGATGTGTCGTCCCCCATCCATAGTTACTTATATGATGATGGCCTTTCCATTAAACGTTCCCCCCATGTCAGCGTGCACAGCTTGGTGTGTCGGTTGCGAGAGAGATTCACAGATTAATTCTTCGTCTCCTCCTCCTTCTGTACTCAAGGCTGGCAACAGAGCAGAGAGCGTCTTGCTTGCAATCACACGCGCGACGAGGGAAAGCAATGGCTGTTTCATTGTAAGCTAACCAAAGGGAGGATAAAGACAAGAGCAACTTAAATGACACGGACGACCCAACGTGCACTGTCAAGCACATAACACCACCATCGACAGCACCAACGTCAACAACAACACAAGCAAGAGTCAACTGTCTGCACAGCAGGTGATACATCCGAGCAAACAAAACGAAGTACAGGTCAACAAGGGACAGGATCACAAATACGAGCACGCGCGTAAACCGCAATCACGCGCGCGTGCAACTGAACACAAACGTCACAGCAACAGGAGTAGGTCAGGTAAGGATGTGCTTAACACCTAACTGCGAGCAAGAAAAAAGAAACCAAATGGAAGAGCGAAAGCAGCATGGGCCTGGATATGAGCCCTTCCTGCGGTGAAGCAAGCAAACAACACTAGCCGAGCAAAAAAAAAAGTCCAAAGAAAACAGAGGCGATGGAAGCGGGTCCCATCCTCGCCCATCCTCGCCCATCCTCGCCCATCCTCTTGGCCAAACGCTACCGCCCGTCCACCTCAATCAGCTTCACCACCCACCCACACCAGCAAGCACCACATCATTACCGCCACCCCCCCCCCCCCCAAATTTGCCTGCCAGTCGTCAGCACGCGTGCTCAACACGCGCGTCATCGGATGTGGCGCTGCACCAGCCGCTCGATACCAGAACGGCGGCTGCTCTTCACACTACCCCTGAACAAAATCAAGGCCGGTTGCACCAAACTATCAGCGGCACACGACCGCCGCCTCAACCATCTCAAGCCCAACTCAGCTCAGCTAAACGCAAAACCCATAACTCCCAACACGCCAGCTCAGCACAACTCCTCATCGAACCACACAAAACATCGTGGTGGTGCTGCTTCACTACTTTCCGTCCACCGCCTCATCGCCGCCACCGTCGTCTTCATCACCAGCACCAGCACCATCGCCGTCGGCATTGACACTGCCATCGTGATCGCACGTCACTGCGCTGTCCGCATCGCCAGTGTCGTCTGCATCCAGTCCGCGGCCCTCGTCCTCAAAGGCAGCGCCGCTCGCCATCGCAGAAGTCGCCAACGTCGTGGTCGCGCCATCATCGCCGGCATGCGGATGCCCCCGCGGTGCGTCATCACCAGCATCACCTTCATCACCTCCATCTTCTGCACCAGCATCATCAACATCAGCATCATCATCACCATCGCTGTGTGCGTTGTCGTCGCCAAAGGGTGCGTGCTCTGGGACAGGCAGCAGCTGTCCAACACGGCTCTCCTCCGCTGCAGGCGGCGTCATGGCCGTGCGCTTCGTCGTCATCACGGGCAGCGGCGGCGTCGACGGCTTTGGGGTCGGTGGGGCCGGTGCTTTCGTCGCAAGGGGCGACACGGGCGCTGAGACGGAGGCAGGCCGCGGCGTCGGCGCAGCAGTTGTCGTGGCCACCGACGCCGTCTTCGACCGCGACGTCGCCCACAGGTCGAGCTCAAGGTAGTCGTTGGAGTGCGTGTTGGGCGACATGAGCGGTGACGCAATGCGCGAGTGCAGTTGCGTCACAGCGTAGATGGCGATGACCAGCGGATCAATGAGGCGGAACGTGTGTGACTCCACCAGCACCTTGTGGCGCTGCTGTGGCCGTGAGCGCCGCCGCCGCCGTCGCCGCCGCCGTATGCGCTTCGTCTGCTGCAATTCTTGCTCAGGCGTGGCCGTCTGCTTGGACACGGCCGCCGATGCGTGCGAGACAGCACGGCGCCGGGGACTGCCCACCTTGTTGGTGCTGCTGGTGCTGCTGATCATGGTGGTGATGTTGTTTGCCTCGGGGCTGGCGGCCGGCGATGTCTCCGCTCGCGATGAGGTTGCAGTCTTCACACCGCCAATGTTGGATGACGATGCAGACGGCAACACCACATCGTGCTGCTCACCGCTGCCACTGTGACCTGTGGTTGTGGTGGTTGTTGTTGTTGCTGTTGGTGTTGTTGTTGTTGCAGCTGATGACGACTGGGGTGGCGGTGGCGGTGTGGGCGCGTCCTTGTCGTCGCCGCTGCTCTCCTCAGACTCGCCGCTCGTGGGGCGCAGGAAAATGTCCTTGAACCGCGCGAGCAGGACGCGCCTGCAGCGGCTGCGGGACACGCCAAGCACGCCGCGCCACCCACACATGGCGTGGAACGTGTGGTACTCGTGCGCGGCGACAAACCAGCCGCGCTGGGCAACAAAGCGGCAGGAGGAGAGCCAGGCAAGAAGAAGGCGTGGCTCAAGCGCCGTGCACGCCGTCGTGTGCAGCCCGCGGCGAAAGTCGAGCGGAACATTGCGGTCAAAGACGCCAAAGCGGCGCGGGGAGACGAGCGCGGTGAGGAGGCAGCGGGCAAGCAGCCCCTGCATGAACAGCACGGCCCACTGCTGGTCGCGCTGCTCAAAGGCTGCGGTGGAGATGAGGGCGAGGCGAACAAGCCCCGGCGACCACTGCTGCAGCACCGCCCCGGGCTTCTCCGACATGAGGCCCTTGATGAAGGTGGCGACAAGCGAGGCAACCACCTCCACAGACGGGCGGCGGCCCTCCACGCTGCGCAGGTGGCTGGCGGCGTTGCCCAGGAGCGCAGCAACCATCTGTCGCGCCGTGCTCGGGATGGTGATGCGCGAGTACGCGGCGGCGCAGTGCTCCAGACACAGCGCTTCCGGCACATCGGCAATGGACGCAGCCGGGTCGCACCAGCGCGCAAGAAACGCCTTGCACGCGCTGGCCGTCTTGGTGGAGAGGGCGTCGAGGAGCGAGGCGAGGCGGGACACGAGAAAGCGCAGCCCAATGCCGCGCGACACAACCATCACCACGCTCGCGTGCGCAAGCTTCTCGTTGGTGAGTGCAAGGTCGAGGGCGCGGTGAAGGTGAATGGCGTCATCTGTCAGCACCAGCTCGTCAAACTCCCGGTGTGACGACGCAACGGCACCACCAACACCACCGCTGCCAACACTTCCGTCACTAGCACGGCCGGTGTCGGCGTTGGCGCCCAGGGAGACGCTGGCAGACCCGAGTGACGCCATCGAGGCCTCTAAGAACAGCTCCTGGTGATGATACAAAATGCAGGGGAGGGGCAAGTGTGGTGTGGTGTGGTGTGGCGTGGTGGCGTGGACGGGTTGCGAAATGGGGATTGGGAGGTGTGTGCGTGTGTGCGTGTGGGGGGGGGGGATAGGGAGAGATTTGGGAGGTGAGTGCAAGCACCATGGGCATACAGCGCACACAAAAACAGACGCAAACAATCGGTGTGCCCACACAACAGATAGTGCACGCACCTTTGCGTTGCATTCGAGGCTGACGGTGCAGGGCTCAAGGGTGTCTGGATTCTTGACAATGTCCGCCAACTTTGTCTCCAGCAAGTGCGCAAGGTTGATGGCACACCGGTCAAGCAGGCTGATGGGTAATGCGTGGGTGGTGGTGATTGATGATGATAATTGGTTGTGTGATGGGTGATGGTAATGGGTTGTGAGGTTAAGCAGATTGAGAGGCACGTGGCAATGGCATGCACGACTGCAACAACCCATCAGACCATGTGCGTGCAGGAGTGAGAAGCTCACTTCAGCTGTGGCCCGTGTCCCGGCGTGTGCATGTGCGCCGGTGCCGCAGGATCGTGACCGTGACCGTGACCGTGTGCGTGTGCATGTGATCGTGTATGTTCGTTGGAGGCGCGGCGGTGTGCATGTGCGCCGCACTCGCGGCAGTCTGAGCGGTCGCTCCTGTTGACGTGGTTGCACGAAGGGCAGAACCAGAGGGCCGGTGCAGTGAGGTCGGCCAGGCGCTGGCACGACGCGGGAACATCGCCGTCCTGTGTTGCCATCGCCCGCGCCAGCAGCTGCTGCACCAAATCAGCCTGATGACACAAGCCGTGGTACGCACATGTGTGAGATAAGGCCGCGGCAAGTGCAACAAAAACGAGTGCGGAGAAGAATACGTACACGGCAAAGAACGAATATACTAACGTACACACCAGACCAACATCGCTAGTGCACACAGCTCGTGTGCAACAGAAAACCCAGGGATGGGATTGCGGGGGTTTGCTGTCGGAGCACTGACCATGCCGGCTCTGTTCCAGTCGATAAATTGGCGGACAACCGGCGAGTCGATGGCTGAGGGCAGCGGCACCTCGCTCGCCGCGCCTGCTCGGGCGATGGACAGGAGGGTGTGGTATGTGGTGTGTGGGGTGAGAATTATGAGAATGAGGAGCTGAAAGTTAACATGTGGCAATGATTCGCGCGGGGGCGGGGGGACCAACGCGAAACGAAGCACATGAGCCACCAAGTGTGTGTGTGTGTGTGTGTGTGTGTGTGTGTGTGTGTGTGTGTGTGTGTGTGTGTGTGTGTGTGTGTGTGTGTGTGTGTGTGTGTGTGTGTGTGTTGCACCTGTGAAGTTTGCGAGGGACTGGATGAGCTTGGCCATCATGAGAAGCGTCTGGTGGTGCACAGGATCGGGCTTGCTGTCCTGTTGGTGTTGAAAGCAGTATGAGTTGGTGGTGGTGGTGGTGGTGGTGATGGTGAGAGACGGTTGCTGGGGGAATGGGGAGAAGAGCAGGTCGTGCTGCTTGCGCGCGCCACGAAGCAGAAACCAACAGCCAGCGCAAGAGATGTGACCACGTGGAATGGGTGGTTGGGCGTGCAGTCATCTGGCTTGATGGCTGGATGCACGTGACGTACGAGGAGGTTGAATGCCTCTGGATTGATGAGGGCCGGGCAAAGCAGGCGCAGGAAGACAAAGGAGCGGATGACAACAATGCCGTGGCCAGGAAACCGGGCCTCCATCTGAACACGCATTGAACACGAGGCGGGGGAGGGAAAAGGCATTCACAGAACAAAGGTTAGTTGTGTGTCAAGGCAAACCTGCAATGCACACACAAGTACAGACACAAAAACAAAAATGCACACACACACACACAAGTACAGACACACACACACACACACACACACACACACACACACACACACACACACACACACACAGACGCGCCCGTAACAACCCACCAAGTCAAAGAGGTCCTTTGTGAGGAGGGCGAGGCTGAGCGGAAAGCGGGCGGTGTTGTGTGTGAGGAGATCGCACACGTCCTGACACACGCCAACGAGCATGACCAGGCGCCGGTCTGGCGTCATCGCGCCATTGCCGCCACTAACGCCGCCGCCACTGCTGCGATTGCTGGCGGTGGCCGTGTCCCCCGTTTGCCGCACATTCACCTGCTCAATTGGATCAGAGTTGCACGCGTTCTGCACGGGCGCAGCTGTGGTCACAACAGCCAGTAAAGCGGTGGTCTGGGTGAGGGGGGGGGGCTTGAGGAGGGCTGAGGAAGGAACTTACCACGCGCGCAATTGACAGGACATCCAAAGAAATGTCCTCGCACACACAAATACAGCACACACATCCCTGGCGAGGGCAGGGCAGCATACAGGGCAGGACAGGGTGCACGTTAACGGACCGAGAACGGCGCAGAGAAAGTCGTGTCCAATGAGGCGGAAATATGCAGAGACGAGACGCGTGGCCGTCGTGTTGCGTCGAAACACCATCGGCGCCTGCAAGGGGAAAGTGATACACATTCACATGAGTAACCAAGCGCAATACACACGCACATTAAGCTTGTGTCGGGTGGGGGGGGGGGCGCACAAACAAGCATGCGGGCATGCAAACGCACCCTCCTCCTCCTCCTCCTCCTCCTCCTCCTCCTCCTCATCATCATCATCATCATCATCATCATCATCATCATCATCATCATCATCATCATCATCATCATCATCATCATCATCATCATCCAACTCCCATCGCCTGGGTACTCACAGCGCGTTCGTTGTTGATGTCGTCCTTGATGACGGACGTGAGAAAGGGGCGCGCCACACCCGCACTCTCCAGCAGCGTCAGCAGCCACTTGGCCGTCTGGTGCGTCAGGAACCCGTCAACTAAGACACACACACACACATACGTGGCACAGATGAGTGCATGCATACAATGCACACACACATACACATGCACGCACACACATACACACGCACGAACACATGCACGCACATGCATGCACGCACACACACACACAAACGAGTGCCATGAGTGTGTACCTGTGCAGATTGCCTTTGCGAGGGCAAACGAGTTGTGGGAAAGAGCTGTGACGAGCTGGGCAGCGGGGATGCTTGCCTCTCGCAACACGCTGTCAGGTACCTGCACAGTGACCCGTGATGATCGATGATCAATGATCGATGATGGAAATGACATGCACGTGGTGGTGAGCACGCCGTTGTGATGCTCACAACAAGCTCCATCAAACACACGAACAGTAGTACAAGCATCGCTGGAGACAAACACTGTGGTCAGGTGCTCGTATCTTCCCATCCCCACCATCCTGCTCCCCCTGCTCCTCCTCCTGCTCCTTTTTCGCCCCCTGTGTGCGTGGTACGCGTACCGCGAGCCAGTGCATGCGGAGGCGGAGAGGGAGGCGATATGCAGACTCGACCAGGCGGCGCAGGGCAGCTGGAGACGCCGTCACATCACCATCGCCATCACCATTGTCGACATTGCCGCGGCCATGGCTGCCCTTGGTTGGCGTGACCGTGCTGGTGGAGACGGTTGGCGACGCAAGCACCGACGACGACGAAGAGCACGACGCCGTTGCTGCTGCAGACTGCGGCGACGTGAGCGGTGAGGCAGCAACGGTTGCTGGCGCAGAGGCCGTGGCGGCTGGACTCGCCACGCCACGAGCAGCACCAGCGGTGGGGCGCGCGCGGGATTGGGGTGGCGCATCGCTCGACGCCGTTGTTGGCCGGGACCCGGGGCTGGCGAGGCGAGAGATGCAAACACGCGTGCATGAGATGGAATGAATGGTAGGGCAGCGGCAATGTGACGGAAAGGAAGAAACAGGCATGCGGTTGTGAATGGACGTGACGTGCTGTGCAGAGGCAGTGAGAAAGGCTGTCGACAGACAACATCACACACACACGTTTGGTGTGTGTGTGTGTGTGAGCATGTACAACACCTGAACGGAAACGCGGTTGTGGAGGCGTGACTGTGCTTGCGGGGATCAAGGTGCGTTGTGCTTTCGTGTGTCGGCAACGTCGGCAGCGGCCTGGTCACCACATCTGCGAAAGTCGCCTTTGATCATGCCCACATGAGAAGCATGAGTGTTTGTGTTGATGACACGTCAGTCATGTGTCGACTGCGGATGCAGTTCGAGAGCGTCGAGGATGGCACATGGGACAGAAGCAAGCTTCCAACGACATCCACACACACACACATACGCACATACATACATACACACACACACGCATATACACACGCAAACATACACATGCACACACACATGCACACGTATACACACATGCACCCACACCTCTGATATCTCCAAGTGAGGTTTGTCGATGTGGAAAAACCTCCAGAAGGATGAGCCACGCTCCTTATCGCGTCGAGCCGGCGAGCCTCTCGACACGTTGGCCATGGTGGCACGGCCAAGTGACACAACTCACAGAAGCAACAACAACAACAGCAACAACAACAACAAGGGTCACAGCAACTGTGGAAAAAGCTTGTCGACACGCGCTCAGCTCAGGTGCTCGGCAGCGGCGATTGTGCTTGAGGGTCCTACGACTGACCAGGCCTGCTGCTGCGCATGTGTTGTCGAGGAGGATGTGCTGTCGACAGTGTGCTCAGCACTTCTGTGCGCGTGCACGTTAGTGTGGATGCCCTTTGTCGATCAAGTGAACTGGGCTGGATTGATCACGGAGACAGGTGCCTGCGCGAGTGATGGATGGTGCCTGTGACGGCAGTGATGGCAGAGGTGGTTTTGGTGTTCACACAGAGAGCAGTGAGCATGCACGCATGTGTATGCATGTGAGCATGTGTGTGACAGTGACACGTGGTGGTGATGACTGCGTCTTTGTCACAGAGCACAACAGCCAGACAAAGGAGGAGGCAAATCAAATTCAATGAAACGTGATGAAAGCAGGGACGTGTGGCCCACCCCCCGAGCATCAACACGCACCTGTGCCAGCGGAAGGTGGAGCTGCTCGCCTGGGGCGGTCGTCGACCACAGCAAACGCTCAGAAACACGTGCCGTGCCGAGAGAAACGCCTCGTTGAGATGAACGAACAAGAAGGCACCAAGAAGTCAAACGAGCTTGACGTCGGATCGGAGGCGTGCGGGCGTGTGAGTGTGCAGGCTGAAAGTCAACAAAGGCGAGGTGGATGGTGCTGGGTAAGACAGCAGCAGCAGCTGTTGTCTTGCTTTGTGCTTGTGCTCACGAACTTGCTGAAAATTGGCAGCATCATGGGCTAATAATCATCGGCGAACAGAAGCCGCAGACAAACAAACCACCAGGCAAACGAGGGTGCGGGTTGTGTGTGTGTGTGCTTGTGTTGGTGTCCGTTCGTGCCAACGAGGAGCAAAGCTGCTCTGCTTTGTTGGATGGGGAAGGAAAGGGGGGTGAGGGGATCATGGTTGGAAAGGGGGATACCGTAACCGTGTCGCTGCTGGGGAATGCACGGGTGTACGAAGGCGTGGATGCAAGAGGAGGAGGTGTCGCCATGACGAACACCGACAACAACACCACCACCACCACCACCACCCAGCCACCGCAAGTCAGCATGAGCGGCAGACACAAGGACAGCAGAGGAAGCACAGGTGGCCTGTCACAGTGTCACACACCCATGAGAACAGCGACAGGGACAGCACCACTGTTGAGCGGTGGCACTGGTATCAGCAGTCATGACATGGCTCGCACCAACAGCAGCAGTGCGCAGCCAGCACTGTCGATGGCGTCTGCTACAGTGAGGATCGCGACAACTTTTCTGCCCGCACTGGACACGGCTCACATCTGCTACCGACGACTGGAGAGCGGCGACCGCGCACAGCTGAAAGCCCTGCACGATGTCCTGTTTCCCATATCCTACCCCGATCGGTTCTTTGACAGTGCAGTGATCCCCTACAGTGAGCTTGACGCGTTTGGTGCCTTCAGCCATGATGGCACTCTCCTGGGCTTCATCGTCTTCAAAATCACCCCAGCTTCAACCGTGGACATTGAGGTGCGTCCAGTGCATGCCGTGGGGATTGGTGGCGATATTCGTTTTGAGGTGGGAAGGGGCAGGCAGGTGAGTGCCTTGGCTGTGATCCTGAACGTTGCAGAGCCAGGATTATGTTGGAATGGGCTGTGCGTCAAATCCCAAGCATCTTCTGATACGTACGCCAACCTGTTTTGTTCTTCAGGATCAAGGCGTCGTGCATGATCCAGAACAGAAGTATAGTTTGGTGTACATCCTTACACTCGGTGTCATACCGCGATTCCAATCCCACGGAATAGGTGCGTTGTCCTCTGTGTGTGTGCGTGTGTGTGTGTCTGTGTGCGCGTGCGCGTGTGTGTGTGTCTGTGTGCGTGTGTCTGTGTGTCTGTGTGTGTGTGTGTGTGTGTGTCTGTCTGTCTGTCTGTCTGTCTGTGTGTCTGTGTGTGCGTGTGTGTGTTCGTATTTACGTGTATATGTGTGACGCAATCTGAGCGCCGGTTCTCTTCATCATGTGCTCTTGCTGTCTCTGGTGAGCATGATACACGGGGATAGTGTTAACCGCTCACGTACTTGCGCGTTGCCACATATCAATGATAGGGTCGGCGCTGCTGGAACTGCTGCTGGCATGCAACGTCGTCAGCAAGCGGTCATGCAAGGCTGTCCTTCTTCACGTCCTCGCCTCAAACACGCGCGCCGTCGCCTTCTATCAGCGGTGTGTGTGTGTCTGTGTGTGTGTGTGTGTGTGTGTGTGTGTGTGTGTGTGTGTGTGTGTGTGTGTGTGTGTGTGTGTGTGTGTGTGTGTAGACGGCGGAGTGGGCGTGCGTTTGTTCGCACGTGCACACCTCCTTGTGTTATCAGAGAGCACAGAGTTGACACGGCACATGCACCCGTATGTTGTGTGCACAGGCACGGCTTTCGTCGCTATCGAATACTCGAGGACTACTACCATATTAACGGTGTGGCAAGCGAGCACATGCACACACACAACGTATGAAGTGTCTGCTCTCCGTAGCCACCCAGCAGCGCTCACATCCAACCACTTTCTGTGTGTGTGTGTATGTGTGTGTGCATGTGTGTACGTGTATATGTGTGTGTATGTGTACGTGTGACAGGGGTGCCTGCCGCTGCGCTAAGCTGCGTTCGTTACATTCACGGCGGTCGGCCAACCTCTGTGTTTGACCCAATCTTCCTGGTGCGTATTGGTACATGTGCGTGTGTGTGTGTGTGTGTGTGTGTGTGTGTGTGTGTGTGTGTGTGTGTGTGTGTGTGTTCTTGTACTTGTGCTTGAGCAATCCAGTACACGCAGGCACAGATGCCGTTTGAGAGTCGTCACAGTCGTTCTGCATTGTACTGTGGGTCGTTTACATTGTTTCTCCCACTTGTGTGTGTGTGCCATGCTGCCGTGCTTGCAGATGCTGGACGGTGTGTGGCAGTGGATATGCACGCGAACGACACAGGCACTGGTTGCAGCGTCGCGGCTTCTCACCTGACTCTGCCACACGACACGACACGACACACACAAACACAACATAACCCAACACACTCACATTCCCTCTATTTAACTGACATGAAGTGAAGTTAGATGGCGATGTGTTGAACTGAACAACGAGTATTAACCAATGAACTAGAAGCACAAGCGATACAGGAGAACACGAGCAGGACAGGCGGGGAGGGAGAGTGGGTCGTGTGTGTGTGTGTGTGTGTGTGTGTGTGTGTGTGTGTGTGTGTGTGTGTGTGTGTGTGTGTGTGTGTGTGTGTGTGTGTGTGTGTGTGTGTTGAAAGCTCATGTTGCGTTCAACAAACTCAAAAAGGGGCAAGCGCGAAGAAAGTAACACGGTTGTGCGTGCATGAGGGCATCACTCATCATCATCATCATCATCATCATCATCATCATCACTACCACTACCACTGCCGCCTTCGTCGTTGTCAGCAGCAGCAGCATCATTGACATTGTCAGCATCCGTGTTGTCGCCCATATCCGTTGAGTGGGCCTGGTTGTGTCTCAGCTGGACCGGTCGCCAGTGCTTGTCGAGAAACCCGTTGAGCTGAATGACATGTAGTGCTTCCTCTGCCATTCTCGCCTTGCTTGCTTGCTTGAGAGCCCTTCGCTGCAGGTCAGCCATGGCTCGCTCGATGATGTCGCACAGCACCTTCACACGCGTCTTCTGCACCTGCCCTCGCGGAATGTCTTTGGACTCCAGCTTGCCAATAAAGTCTGGGGTCTTGCGAAGCTGGTTCGCCCTCTGCCGCAATGCTCTGTTGTAGACCTCAGTCAGGTTCAGCGAGGGCGATTCGGGGGAGCTAAACTTGACGGACAGGCTGCACCGACCGGTCGCAATCCACTCGCGCCACAGGTGGAAGCTGTCGTAGGCCTGCAGCATCTGCGTGGCAGCCTCTGCCGCTCGCTGTCCTTGTTCTGGCGCGCTGGCCATCAGGAACACGATATTCGCCCCGCTGAGGCCAAGGCTTTCGCGCTTGTGCCAGAGCGTGTGGAGAAGGTTGTTGAGGAAGTCTTTGAAGTGGACCTGCGTGTAGGTGGCCTTGAGGGCCTTCTTGGTCTTCCTCTGCCCGTCGCTGCCAGTGCTGTGCATCTCTGGTGGGTAGAGCTTGCCGTAAAGAAGCCCGTGCATGTGCGAGACTGCCATGGCCACTTGTGTGCTACAGGACATCACGGGCACGTCCTCGTGCACGGCGCCATCACGACGCGGCGGCAATCCGTGGTGCCTGCCGCATGGGAGATAGAACGGCATCTCGTCGATGTAGACGATGTAGGCGTTGTCCTCGAGGAGGAGGTCGCGCAGCTCCTTCGCAAACGCCAGGCGCTTCTGCATGCTGGCCTCGCTGTTCATTGTCGTTCCAGCTGCTGGAATTACTCGCTTGAGGGTGAAGATGTTTCGCTTCAGCGCGCGATACACGCTGCGGGTGCCTTCAATGTGCGTCTTGTCATAGAGCTCCTTCACCACAGGGTTCTCGAGGCACGTCTCACGGTTCAGTGGCCCAAGGAAGACCTTCTCCTCGTCCCGCAACCGTTGCTCTGCGGGCAGCTGCTCCTCCAGTCTGATCATGATTCGGCGGAGCTTTTCAAGGTTCATGTGGTCTGCAAGCTGGTCTGCAGTCATCGTGCAGTCGTCATGAAGGAGCTCTCTCATCACTTCCTCGTCCTCAGGGAAAAGCCTCCTGGGCGTGCCTGCCTTCCTCCCCCGCTGGCTTCTTGGTGCTGTGGAGCTGCTTGCTGGCGTCGCATGCCCTTCTTCTAGCCCTTGTTCTTTCCGCCTTGCGTGGTAAAGCACGGTCTTGACGGTTGCCGGCGGCATGCCAAAGAGGGCTCCAATGCGGCGAGCGTCGGCGCTGCTGCTTTCGCCAGCCTGGATGACGAGGTCCTTCTGCATCTGCGTGTAGTGGTTGCGCGGCCGCTTGCGCGGGTTGGGGTCGAAGGGGTCTGCAGTGATCCGCCTCCTGGGCTCACTGGTTTCTTTGCTCGCCGCTTGTGGCTTCCGCAGCTTGCGAAGTGGTGGCAGGAACGACAGCCGCTGGGTCTGAGTGGTCACACTCCGCTTGCCCTCGAGCTCCTCCACAACCTCGCCAAGATCCGTCCGCTGGTTGGAGCGTGTTGGGGAGGAGGAAGAGGACGAGGACGAAGCTGCGTGATCAAAGTGCGCATCTGTCTCCCACAGCGCGGTTTCTGTGGGCTGCATCATCCCGCCGCTGTGACTGGCAGCGGTGTTGCTGTCCATGGTGCTCGGGTGAGGATACTGCTGCACGAAGACAAAGGCGTCAGTGCGGCTGAGTATGGTGGGCTTCAGGAGGATGGGAGGATGGAAGACGAGATGTGTACCCTGTTGTGTCGTGCAACGGTGAAAGTGCTGAGGACCTGTCTGTGGCTGCTGCTGAACAGCACATCAACAGGTGTTTGCATCGAAGGCGGCAAGCAGACGGCGCGGCGAAATGCACACGACGCAATCCATAACGCGTTGCTTCGCCTCAAAACACACAGGAAGGACAGCAAGCACGACACTGAAGGAAACATGACCGGCTTCAAGACAGACTATGCAGCCAGTGGCAGGTACGCGGGCGTGGTACTGGTAGTACAACGTGCAGCTCCCCTTTGCCTCACATAGTGGCTGACTCCTCACTGTGGCTGTGTGTATGTGTGTGTGTGTGTGTGTGTGTCTGTGTGCGTGTGTGTGTGTGTGTGTGTGTCTGTCTGTGTGTGTGTGTGTGTGTTTGTGTGGTGTGTGTGTGTGTCTGTATGTCTGTGTGTTGTGACCGGGGCTGTCAGTGAGGTAAGACATCAACGCCGGTTTGTATTAGAGATAAAACGTACTGATAAAGGATGTCTGCCGTAAAACTGAAGGCGAGGAAAGATCTTGCGTGACTGCAATAAGAATCCGGGATTATGGAGAACGCCGGCGAGTGTTGAACACGGAAGCTTGAGAGCACGAAAAGAGGGACAGCGGATCCTAATAGGGCGAGTTTGCGCTGCGGCTGATGGAGTATAAAACTATAAATGTCCGCGTGGGATTGTGCTGTCACGACGATGGCATTGACAAGTCTGCGGTTCGTGCCGTATGCTGCTGCGTTGACATTCACAATGATCCATCGCATGCACCTCACCTCTCATCATTCGTCCTCCACCCTTGCTTGACC